ACAGATTATTGGTATTATAATTCTTATAGTTACTTCTTATTTTGGATATTCTGGCTTAAGGGCATCTTTTATTAGTATTTACATAATACTGAAATATGAAAGCACTTACTTACACTAAGTTGTATATATATGCTATATTCATATACTTTTTAAAAAACTCCTATGTGTTGATAGGTACAGGCTATATTTTGTTATCAGAGATTACTCCCAACTAGGTTTGTAATACATAGTACTACTTCTAGCTTTCATCAGAAAAGATTGGTGTTTAATATTAGTATACCCTTATATACTATTTATATTTCTACTACCAGCTCAGTACTTTCAGCTATTTCAGATTATTATATGTTCTCAGCATATAAACTATCTACTTTACAATTAGAACTTACCCTTTTAAGTTTTCATATATTTAAGGTTTTATGATTATATGATGAGTATATAACAAGCTACAAGTACAACTTTAGTCATTGTTAAATTTAAGTAGTTTGCTATACAAATGATTAACTATCTGTTAGTTCTATACTATGCTACTATACCTGCAACTTGTTTATGAGTTATCTATTTAAATACTCTAATTATTAATTCTTTCTTCTATATCAAATTAATATCACTACTATATCTAACTGCTTAAGCTAGCCAATTTGCTTATAAATCTATTTACTGTATAACTTAGGTCCTCTTAGAATACATATTACTCAATATATTATGAGTATGCAGAGCTTCAGTTAATCTTAAAAATAATTTCTTCTAGCATAGTTATATACTTATTTTATTAATTAATCTAAATTAAACTTTTGTCAATATTTGAATGAACTTAGTTTCTCTATAGCTCTCTACTAAATTAGTTCTCTAAAATTCTAACAAGATGTTTTATGAAGTTGATCCTTCTAATTTATTAGCTACTAAGCCAAGTTAATATTACTACTAATACAAAGTACTAGGCTGTATTATATAGTAAACTTACTTGATTTATATCTTTATACTCAGATTTTTCACTAGATCAAGCATTAACTAGCAGACTATCAAAATTTATACTATTTTACTAAACTTAGGATTTCTACTATGCACATTCTCTGTCTATAGATCTTATTAAAATTTATTCATGCAATATAACTAAAATATTATATTATACTTTCAATATCTAATTAATATTATGCAATATAATTTATAGAGTTGTAATCTCTAAAAACAAATAGAGTTTACTGTAAGTTGAGTACAAAAGTTTAAGTAATTATACAAATTCATCAACAGTGAGATTTAATTCTAGACCTCTTATATAGCAGTCTAGTAACCTAACTACTATACTAAAATTACCAAAACTAAAATTTTTTTATTTAAATTTTACAGTTATATAAAATTTAAACAAAAATTTTTTATTGATTTTTTTTTTTTTTTTTTAACTATCCTTGATGCAAACATCTAGGAGCGTATGTAGTACTCTTTTATTTTACTACAATTTGTAAGGTTCTTACATGTGACTTAAGTTTATAATATTACATTATATTCTGGATCTCTAATCCCACAGTGTATAACCCCTAATAGTCTTCAATTCCCCAACTCATATGACTTACAGATACAGTATCACTTTTTATCAATGTCCAATTTCAGTTATATTCTTTGTGCAGAGATTCCGATTTTTGTATCTTTTTTGGTGGATTTCTCCTTGTCTAGTGGTGTGACATCTGTGGTTAAGCCACACTTCCTGTTCATATCTTTTGTTCTTAAAATGGAAAGATCCTTAAAAGATCTTAAATCTTCAATCATGATTCTAATTTAGTCAATTCCCCTAATGGGATTTGAACTGACAACCTTGTGATTGTGACCCAGGAGTGTAACTACTACGCTGTAGACCCACAGGTCATTTTTATTGATTTTGATAAAATAGTTGTTAAGATATTTTTGCTCAAAGTTTAAAAATCTTTTAATTTTAAGAGGGTTTAAATATTAAATTTGTTGGTCTGGTGATTTAGTGTAGTAAATAGATTGTCAGACTGCTATACAAGAAGTCTAGAGTTCAAATCCTACTATTGACAGAATTAAATAATTATCTAGATATCTGTATTTAACTTATTGTATACTCTGTTCATTTCTGGAATTGTAACTTTGTAAATTATGTTGCTTAATATTGTTAGAATATTAGAAGTGTGACAGAATGTTAGAGTTGCATTATACAAATAAATCAAAATAGGATCTATGAGCAGAGGACTATATAGTAGAAATCCTGAGTTAGATGAAGTAGTATAGATTTCAATAGTTATGCTAGTTAATATTTGATCTAGCAAAGATTTCTGAATGCAAAAACGCAGATTAAGTAGATGTAAGTAAGTTTATGATATTGGATATTATAGCAATACCAACTTGGCTTAGTAGCTAACTCAATTAGGAAAATTTACCTTGTAAAACATTCAAAAGAATACAGAAGTCTAAACTGGTAGAAAGCTATAGCTAGAACTAAGTTTATATGAATATTAAATAAAGATATATACAAGCTAGATTGGAATATAGCAAAGTATAGTTGGGTATTATGATACCTATCCGTTAGGGAGTATTAAAGTAGAATTTATCTGAGTAAGACCTGAACCTATAATAGTAAAGTTTGTAACTAATATTAGCTTGGATGCTTTCTAAAGTAGAATAGTATAGGGTTATAGTTAACTATAAGAGTAATATTTGTAGTAAATAAGATAGAACTAGAGAGTTTAAATAAGGAATCTTCTAAAAGATTTTAGATATAGCAGCTATTGTAGAACCTTCGAGTGGACTACTTAAAATAGACAACCTAAAATTATATATGTGGCTAGTTGTACTTTCACAATAAATATTATTTCTAAAATTTATAAAATTAATAAAGTTTAGCTGATGGCATTTGTATAAAGTAAAAAAAAAAAAAAATATTAAATTTGAAGGTACAAATATTAATTCTCTAAATTTATTTTATTAAAATTAAAAAAATATTTACTTTGATAAAATATTTTATTTTAATAAACATATTTACTTTGATAAAGTATTTTATTTTAAAAAAATATTTCATAAAGTATTTAATTTTTATTAAAATTAGGATTAGGTTTAGACTTATAATTTAGGCTAATTTTGTTAGTACTAGTAAACAAAATAATATCATATAGATTACTTGATTATATTTTCGAGTTTCATTATGACTTTTGAGTTTCAAGAGGTATCATTAGTTCTAATATAAGTTTCAAGTTCTGATACAAGTTTTGAGTTCTAATATGAGTTACAAGTTTTGATACAAGTTTTAAGTTTTAATATAAGTTTTAGTTTTGCTATGAGTTTCAAGTTTTATGAAATTTTAAAAATAAAATTTTATCAAAACTAGATGCTTTTAAAAGTTTCAAGTTTCAAGAAGTTTCAAAAATAAAATTTTGTTGAAACTAGATACTCTTAAAAGTTTTGAGTTTAAGAAGCATTATTAGCTTTGACTCTAAACTAATATATAAAGAGTTTGTTTTAATTTTTATATTATATTATCAGAAACTACTAAAGCCTTAAAAAGTTAATTAATTAGTTTTCATAATTTAGCTAGATTAAATTTTGAAAACTTTTATAAAAATTTTTTTATATGTTTTAATAACTGAGTAGGATTTTAAAAAAAAATTCATAAAATTTTATAAATTATAATATATAAAATTTTTTAAAAAAGCTAACTAAACTATAGTCTGAACTGATCTTTTGAACTAGTCCAACTAGTTTTTAGTCCTAAATAGAGTACTAGTCTAAACTAGTTCAAATCTTATAAAATAATCTCATTAGCTACAAAAAAAAAACAAATTACTGATAACTATATCTATAAGTTTTTAATATCACAAATTTAGTAACTTATTAATTTATTAATTTTTGATTTGGTAACTTGTTAATTCAGTTATTAGCAATTTTTTCAATTGTTTTAGAATTTATAGTGATAGCTTTAAAGTCTTTTTTATATACAGTAATTATTTAAACTACAAAGCTTATTTTAAAACTATATAGTTTTCTACTAGGACTAGTTTTTAGAACTAAAATCTGGTCAGAATAAACTATAATATTTCTATTAGTTAGTTAGATTTATTTAAAAATTTTATATTACATAAACTAATAAATTAAATTTGTATAGTCTAACTATTATTTATTATAAAATTTTAATATTTTTTAGAGCTTTGTAGAATTTTTTTTTTAGAGTTAGAGTTGTTAATTAAAGAGTTATATAGATTTTAGCAGGTTTCAAATTGTAGTATCTATATTATGATTTTCTAAGTAACTAAAAAAGTTCTAAAATATCTTAATAAATAGATCAAAAAGTATCAGAAAAAAATTTTACTTATAGAAAAATATTTTAGTAGTCAATTTATTTTATCAGTATTATATAGTAAAAAATTAAAAGACATTTTTATTTTAGCTATTCAAAGTTAATTATTAGATTAACATCATCTCCTCTTCTAATTAACTATTCTCTTATTAGAAATTAAACAAGCTAATTACAATATAGTATAAACTTTGTTAATCATGTTATTAAGGTTAATTAGAATATTCTTGAAATATATTAATATATATTTGTTTAAATTTTTCTTTTCTCCTTATCTCTAAGCCAAAAATATTGATATTAACCAAATAATTAACTTTAAACAGCCTTAATATAAACTATTTTTTTTATATACTAGATTAATTGAGTATTCAAAGAGATCATTCAAGTAACTTTTGTTATGAATCTTTATTTTTAATATAATAATTAATTTTTTATTATTTGTATTAAAAGATTTATTGAAATAAAAAATATCAGGAAGTTTATATGACAACAAATTCAAGTATTTCATCTTTATTTCTTTCATTTAATTCAATAATTCATTATTCATGAAGACCTAAAACTATTAGATTATGTATGAGTTGATGTTTTTCCTATTTAACTATGATCTTTTCAGTGACACTTTTGTATACTCTTAGGCGTAATAGACATGCTTTACGTCTGTTATTTCTGGGTTTATATTATTTCACTAGAAATATAAAACTAGCTAAACCCTAACTCTAAATCTGGCTAAAATATTAGTAAAAAGACAGTCAGTAAAATCAGTATCAATATCACCCATTGTGGTATTTCTTGCTGAATGGGTTCTTTTTTTTTTTTTTGTAAATTATTTTTTAGAAGTTTGCTATTTATCATCACTAGTCAGTATATAAATTAGCCAATAAATTTGTAGGATCAGGTGTAACGTGCAAATCAATTTCGTGTAACGAAAATAAAGATTTTTTTTTTAAAAAAAAGCTTATATCTCGAAAATTCGCTTATGAAACCATCTTCGATGTTCTAACAAAAAAATTCCTTGCTAAATTTTGCATATACTAACGCCTAGATAAGATCCTAGGTCTCGCCCTAACCTAAAGTAAATGAAATAAGATTTTTTTTTTGTTTTATCGTTATTAATTTTACATATTACTGGTGATGATCACCTGGTTATTCGTCTATTTATTATTATTATTATTATTATTATTATTATTATTATTATTATTATAGGTCTAAATTGTCATATTCATTTATATTTGGGGCGTTAAAACGTGTCTAGTGAGATCAAAAAAAATTGGCACGTACTGTACGTACACAAAATAATAAAGCAATTAGGTTGCGCCTAATTGTAACATGTTACTTGATATAGTATACTTCGGTGCCGTTCACTTCACTGACAGTCATTTCACCGAAAGTTCATTTAGCCGACATCACATGGAGTTAGGGTTAGGGTTTTATTAGTTTCAGGTATATATTATTAGTAAATTGTCACTTGCCGTGATGTCAGCTAAATGAGCTGTCGATGAAATGATTGTCGGTGAAATGATACGGATCCGTATACTTCACGTACCAGTATATTAATAATCAATAAAGATGACTACTCCCTATGCTACAATTAGACATGACCTAATTTTTTACCATATTGTGCAATTTTTTTTTTTTTTTGATCTCATAAAAGCACATTTTAATTGACGATGCCTCATTTAACTAGTCATTAAAAATGTTATATTTGTCGGAAATAAATTTAAATTCTGTTTTGATGATGCTAGGTTGGTTTTTTCCATGAGATATCGGAGGTTAACACTGGTATTTAAAACCAGACGAAATTTGTATTGGAGGTTATTATAATTTATGTATTTATTCTAATAAAAATTTAACACGAAAAAAAAATTAAGGTGAAGTATAAAAAGCTTATGTAGAAGTTACATTCATGTGGATAAAAAAAGTTTAAATAACAATTATAAAATAATGTCATGTATGTTAGTGTATATTAAATTTATGAATGTAAAAAAATGGCAAAGTTAAAGACTAGTTAAGGTTTCACCTGAGAATAAATGTACCTATATAACTTGTTAACAATCATGTTTTAACTTACAGGTACAATTTCAGAACACACAAAAAAAAAAGAATGTAATTGTAATTTTGTAAAACATCAAAAAAAACCCCAATTGTTCGAAAGGTGTTATTATACTAGATCTAATTCTCTATTGTAACAAGGTCAATTTAGTATTTAAACTCCGAGCTTTTTCAAATAATTTTTCTTCATTAGGACCCAGATGATTTTCCTTAACGTTTACGAAAGTCAGAGTAGTGTTATTACAAAGAGCTTCAGCCAACACTTTTCCTCCTTCGAAACCAAACCGATTATATCTGAGATCCAAAAAAGTCAAAGAGGTATTTACGTAAAGAGCACTTGCTAATGCTTTCACACCTTCAGAACCTAAGATATTATTTTCAAGATTCAAAGATGTCAATGTAGGATTTTTACGAAGGGTTTCTGCTAATGCTTTGCCATCTTGAGGACCAAGTTTATTATCATAAAGATTCAAATAAATCAGAGTAGTATTTTTGCATAAACCATTTAAGAAAAATTTTCCTTCTTCGGGAATAAATATATTATGTCCAAAATCCAAAGCGTTAATAGTTGTATTCTTGCCAAGAGCCTCTGCAAGGGCTTTTGCACCTTCAATTCCAAATTGATTATCATAAATATTTAAAGAATTCAAAGTGGTATTTTTGCAAAGAGCTTTTGCCAAGGCTTTTCCACCTTCAGGGCCAAGTTTATTATATCCAATATTCAAGGAAACCAAAGTGGTATTCTTACTTAGAGCTTCAGCAAACATTTTTCCTTTCGCAGGACCAATTTCATTACCCCAAAGATTCAAATGAGTCAAAGTAGTATTCATATCAAGAGCTTTTATAAGGTTACATAATTTCTTGGAATTATTACATAAACTAAAAATTTTCCACTTTGGTGCAAGGAATCTGCCATAAAGATTCCAGTTTGAAGCATTTTGCAGATCTTCTTCACTATGATGATCATCCATAAGGATTTTTTCATAAAGTTTTAATGATTCAACAAATTTGCCTTTATTGAAATATTCACGCGCCCTTTTTCTATTATTCTCTAATTCTTTATTATCTTTGATAGAAAGTTCAACCGTACCAGACGATGTTACTTTATCATGAATTATAATTTCAGAACCAACAATGCTAGATGATAATTCCTTATCATCCTGAATTTTTTTATCTTGTTGGTCCGAAAAAGAGATTACATTGTTTTTAATTGATGTTTCATTAAGTTCTTCAGAAGAAGGTTGATTTAATGTTGAGTTCGTCATTTACTAAAGGATTAACTTGGTTTAATATATTTATCTTGTTTAAATATATATATATATTTATCTTTCGAAATCGGGGTTTAAGTATTACACAAATGTATTAGTTATGTAAATAGTTGGAATAAGTTTGTTCAGTAGAGAGAATCTAGTATTTGTTATGAAAAAGATGTTTATTGCCCCGCTTTTATATCTGAATAATTTTATGAATAAAATACTACTATAGCGTCTAGCGTATATTTGACGATTACACCATCGTGTAATTATTACAATCAATGTTATCTTTATGTTTATTATACTTTATAAGGGGAACAAATAATAATTTACCATTGGTTTTTTTGACCTTGAATAGTAGACAAATAATTTTCTCATATTTGTCTGAATTCTGAAACCTTAAACAAATAATAATAAAAAAGACGAATAAAACTTATTATGGCTACCAGAGTACAAAGCACAAATGATTATAATCAATTATTTGTGTTCTGTATCAAAATTATTTCCTCCGATACACATTAAAAATATAACAAAAGTGACAATGTTACACGCTGTACATAAGATATAATTTAATAACACCAAAGCGAAAATCTCTCCCGTTATTCAGAAACTTTTTCCTTTTAACTTGTAAAAATATTAGTAAAAATATCATTATACAAAATGATATGATAGTCTTTTCATAGAGCCTTTGTCATAACAATGATTATGTAAATCAATGTGTCAGAGAGCCATTTTTTATGACAAAATTCAAAAAAAGCCACTTAAAGAAATAGGAGCTTTAGTTATCAATTGTAATGAATTCTTTTCTCCTTTATTCTAAGTACGAAGAATTACAGTATATACAGTGTGATTTTATTATTATACTACTACTATAATTAATTAATTATTAACTAGTTGAAACTAGGTAGCAAAGCTGCTGATTACTCTAGCTTATATAAAATAAATTAATTAATTAATGATTCTTTAAGAACTTTTATAGAAAATGATTCCTAAATATGGTACAAATTATACAATTTTAAATAATTTTATTAATGTTAATTTTACTATAGTATGTAACATCAAAAGTGCCGAATAATTTCTATTAATTAATTTTATCAATTATATATTTTTTTTTTGAATTTATTGTCAGAAGCCTTGAATTGAGATTTTTCTCACGATTATACTTATTTTAATAAAATGTTATCGAAGGATTTTTTTTAAAGCATTTGTAGAGAATATTAACATATTATATAATGTTCATTCATTGTGTTTAATATCATCTTTTATAATTAACCTAGTATTGATATTGAAAAAAGTAACTTTAATTTTTTCTTGATTAAATGATAAATACACGTTTATTATTTTTAGGGTGTTCTCAAGCACCTAAATGGATCGGAGGTCAATTTTTAATTGAGAGTTCTTCATCAATAAAATTAATGATCGCATTTTTTTTTTACAGAGTTGCATCGAATAATTTTACTTAAGGAATAAATATCGATTAACTTACGTTTATATTTTATAAAATTAATATTTGTCTGATAATCAATTTTGATCTGCTAAAGGCATTAGATTATCAATTAATAGCGATAGTTTTAACGCTTGTCATTTTTGGTTTGAAATGACCAATGACTAGTCATTTTCATTTAGGTCATTTCAAGTCATTTACCATCCCACGGAGAGTCAGTCTTATGTGATATTTGTGTAACCATGCAGGTTATGCATATTTTTCTTCTTTTTAATTAATAATCAACTCACTTAAACGTTAAAAATAAAAATAATGTGTTCTAAACTTTGGTATTTTGTTATATTTCTTTTCATAAATACGAATATTGTTACTAAAGCAGATGCATTGGGGAAAAATAATGGATTTATTCAACGAGAACTAGATTTAGATAGAAGTGATACGCCAAAAAATATACTGGTTGGGTCTGTAATTGGCGGTGAATTTCTTGTATTTTTATTATTTATTTGCTTTTTATTTCTTTTATTTCATGATTTTAAATTTATTTATTGATAATTTTAAAGGAGGAAGTCATCTCAATCCAATGTTAGAAGTTTGCAAGATTTTGGTGGATCGTGGGTATAAAGTATGAGTAAACATAATTATTATCTCTTTACTACTTCTTTCTAATTCCATCAATTATTTTAAAAAGGTAAAATTAGCTGCTCCCGGAAATTTTACAGCTACATCCCCTTTATACCATTCAATTCCACAATTTATTATTGAAGAACCTTCAGATACTTATGCATCTCCGGAACTTAGAAAAATCTTTTTTGATAAATATGATTTTAAAAGCTTGGCCAATGAACAAATGACTTTTAATGAAAGATATCTAGAATACTTTAATAAATATTTTCAAGCTTATAAAGAAACTAAGGCTGATTTATTTTTTTGCGACTATGATGGAAATGATGCTTGTTTTGATCTAGCATGGAAATTAAAAAAGCCCGCTGTTGGGTTTGCTAGTAATACTGAGTGTATGTATTATTTACTTTTTTTTATAAGTTAGGTAGATATTAACAGCTGTTACTTATAGATTATTAATTGTCCATTATATTTTTTTCTATTCTTTATTCAAGTTTTTACTGCACCACCTCCCTTTCGATCCGATCCAATGGTGGGTTGTCGTGTGAACATGGAGAATGAATCATTCTACAATCGGTTTATATGTGCTATAATACAACCATTACGACTTGACTGGCATTTTCGAAAAAATTTAAATTATCTTAATGCTAGAAGAGCCGAAGTCAATGTTAGCAAACATTATGACATTAGAGGAAGAATAGTTAACAATTTATTTTTAGTTGATAGTTTCTTTGGATTTGAGGTAAATTTGCTTTTTAATATTCTTTATTAAAAAATAAAAGTCTTTAAATTTAATTTCATTAGCTTTTTTAATATTCTTTGTTAAAATAAATTTAATTCCATTATCTTTTATAGGTTCCATCAGCTTGGCCTCCAATTCATCAAGAAATTGGACCTATTTTACCTGATATTTATCCAGATCTATCATCAGAGCTTGATTTATTTCTTTCCGATCATCCTAGAACAATGTATATTGCTCTAGGGTCTTATGTATATACTACTCCTGAAAATTATGCTATTCTTTTACAGTCTGCTCTTGAATTAATCAATAATAATATTCTTGATGGTGTGATCTGGGCAACCGTAAGATTTAATGAATCGGAATTGCCTTCTTCATTTACACTTTCAACTGGTGATGTTATACCAACTTCAAAACTTTTAAATAATTTATATCCACATATTTATGTTACAAAATATGCACCTCAATTTGCAATACTTTCTCATGAGAATACTAAAGTATTTATAAGTCATGGTGGAGTAAGTAGTAGTCATGAATCTATGTATTCTGCTACTCCAATGTTAATACTTCCAATAGCGTTCGATCAACCTGGAAATGCTGAAAAGTTGGTGCTTTCTGGTATGGCTTTAGAACTTTCAAAACTTGATTTAAAAATTGATGATATAATATCAAAAGTTATAAAATTAATGAACGAAAAAAGTTTTAAAATGAATGCGGAAAGAATGCAAGTATTATTAAAATTTAATAGTAAAAGAAAATATAGAGGTGCTGATTTAATTGAGATAGTAATGAATTTGGCTAAACGTGATGGTATTATAATGAGAATGGTGAATTGGAGGTGGATAATGAAGTTTTGTTGAGAAGTTGGATTACTCCTGATTCAAGAATGGGCTTTATTAGAGGAAATTATTTAGACGTTTTTGGTGTTGCAATTATTATTGGTCTAGCGTTGATTAGTAGTCTTTTATATAGTTTTTATAAGATTATTATGTTCACTTTTAAGAAATTGTCTCTTAGAAATAGAAATTCACAAGAAGGTTCTTCGAAACCTAAAAATGAATGAATGATATATTTATTTGAAAATATTTTCAAACAATAATTTATTGCCGTTCTTTATATAACCATATTTTTAGGATCAGGAAAATGGATTTACTTGTAAAATATAAAAATAAAAAAAAAACAAAGCTATATAATGGACTTGCAGAACATTGCCATTATCATTGTGTTTATAAAGGGAACTTTGGTGGTGAATAACGATTTATAAATAATAAAGTTTATTTATTTTCTGGAGCTGAGGAATAAAGTACGTTCTCAAGCAGCTCCCTCAATATTAATTAAAGGTGATCGAGCTCAATTATTGCAATTAATTGAAATAGTTATTGCAATTAATCAAAGTGTCTCTTGTAATGTTATGCCAAAAATTCATTGCGCGAAATGTGAATAGTTTGCACATCAATATTTTATTTATCGAAAGATTCGAATTCTGACTAATTTAAATTTTTTTCTCGGATCCATTATGTAAGGCTCTTAGGGTGTTTTCAATCAATGAATCGGAGATAACTTTTTAACACTAATAACAGATTGTACATTATTTATGGTATGGTGAAGAGGTCTGAATTGGTTCAACCAAATAACTCCAATCCAATTTTACTCTAAGTTGAGGGCGTCTAAAGAGGGTGTGAAAGATTTGATCGGAGTTTTAAGGCTCTTGGATTATCCCGGTACTTCTTGGTCACGTGTCCAACGAAAAAGAATATATATATGCTAGTAGGAACTTCTGATGTATTTTTTTTCTTATATTTTTACTATAGGAGGCTAAAAGGTTCTATATAGAACTAATATTGTTAGAGGCTATAGTGTTACCTTTACTCAAAGAGAAATAGTATGACAGTATTACTTTAGAATTCAAGATGTAATTTAATATGATACTATTTAAATAGAGGTAGAATTTGATTTAGCATATTTAAGGTGGTAGCAAAATATTAGGCAAAGTATGTGTTTTTTTTACTTATTCTCTTTATTTATTTCTATTGTCTGATAATTATTTAATTGTACATAACTCATTATTTTTATAAAAATTTATATCTCTTTTATATATTTTTTTAAATATACAAAAAAGAATAAAAAAGAATAAAAAGAACTATAATGAAGTTTTCTTTTGTTATTTCTGATAATAAACCTTCAAAACTTGTTATAATATTAATATATAGTTACAAATTTATTCTAATATAAATAATTTAACTTATTATAAGTTTTTAAGCTTCAATTTTGACAATTGAGTTAACTATTTAACAAAATCTTTTTATAAAAATATGTTAGTTATTTTTTATTTTAATTTTATACTTGTAGAAATTCTTAGTAAAAACTAGTAAAACCTGTTATTAGTTTTTTGATCATAGTTAAGTTTTTTCTAAAAGTAGATCTTACTTTATATTTAGAGATATTCTATAAAATAAATAGGCAATATAAGAAATAAGCTTCATTAATGATTAGTAATTATTAATTTTTTAATATATTTAGTAAAGTTAGTAGAGTTTGTTTACCTTTTCTATAGAACATCTATATTTAGTTATAATTAAATAATTTAATTAATTTAAAATATATTTAATAAATTAAATATTGAGTATTGCTAAACATCACTGCAAGTAATTATCACTAGTATATAATTAGCTAATAAAATTGCAGGATCAGATATAACATTTTATATGACAAAAACAAAAAATTTTTTTAAAATTGTGAATATCTCAAAAATTTGATTATGAAACTATCTTTTAAGTTCTAATAAAAAAAATTCCTTGCTAAATTTTGTGTATAATCTAAGTTCTACTCTAACTTTAATCATAAGCTGTAGCTCTTATTCTAAACTAAATAAAATTATTTTTTCTGTTATAATACAAATCTATATGTTATATAATATTGAGGTGATGATCACCTGTAATGAGGTTTAGCAATTTTCTTAAATATATAATAAAAATTATATTTAATATTAAAAATCTGATAAAAAATATATTTAATAAATTAAATATATAAAAAAATATTAGATAAATTAAATAAATTAAAATATTCTAAATATATTTACTAATATTGCTAAAAGTATAAAAGCAGTATCTTTTTATTTTGAATAAAAAATAATCTTAACAGAATTCAATTAAGTTTCTATAAGTTTAAGTATTTATAAGTCTAATACTTTAAAATTTAAATAGAAGTATTGTATTTTTATTTTTTTATTATTAAACTATTATTATTAATAAACTATATTTTTATCATAATTATATTTTAATTAGTCTAAGAAAAACAATTAATAAATTACTTCTAAAATGGATTAAATAAAAAATATTAAAGTCAGGTAATCTTAGTATAGTAGTTAAATTGCTAAACTACTATGTAAAAGATCTGAAGTTCAAAACCTACTATTAATAAATTTGAATAATTACTTAGATTTTTATACTTAACTTACTGTAAACTCTGTTTGTTTCTAGAGGTTATAACTCTGTAAATTATATTTACTAATTTTAATCAGATATTGAAAAATAATATAATATTAGAGTTATATTACATAAATAAATCTTGATAGGATCTATAGACAAAGAACTTGTATAGTAGAAATCTCTAGTTTGATAAAGTAGTATGCAAGTTACAAATATAGCAGTATAGTATAAAACTAAACAGATGATCAAATATCTGTGTAGTAGACTATTAAATTAGATAATAACTAAGGTTATACATATAGCTTGTTATATACTCATTATATAATTATAAATCTTAGGAGGAACTATATATATAACTCTATAATAAAAATTAATAAAATCTAATTTGCCAAAGAGACAGCCTTAAAAAAAAAATTAAAAACTAAAAAAAATAAAAAAACTAGAATCTGAAGCAATACTCAGTCTTAAGATCGAATTAATTTAATAATAAATTAATTATATATTTAAAGATTTTTTTTAAGGAGTTTGCTAATTTACACCACAGGTGATCATCACCTGTAATAAAATTATCTCAAAATTTTGTTTATGAAACTACTTTTGAGGCTCTAAGTAAAAAAATTCCTTGCGAAATTTTACTATAGACCTTGCTAAACCCTAACCCTAATACGAGCTCTGGCCCTAACCCTAAAGTCAAAGAAAAAATATTTTTCTTTGTTTATTTTGTATAGCTACGTTACACAACATTATAATAATAATCATAGGTGATTATCACCTGAGGTGAAAATTAGTTAATTTCTTTTTTTAATATTAAAATAGAATTTTGTCTTTATCTTTATTAAAATTTGTATATAATTCTACAAAGAGTTTTACAAAATTTATAAATTTGTTTGCAAGAATTAAAACTCAGACAATAAATAGTAAACTATTTAATTTATCTACAATCTAAACCTACTAGAGTAGTTAAAAATTATCTAAATTTGAATATTTATAATAGTGTTAGATGAGTAGCTATATTTAGCTCATAAAGTAAACTAGATATCAATTTTATACTGTGCTAGTTCAAGAGAAAAGTATAGATTATTATTGTTATATAATTAATTAGGTTAACTATATAAATATATATATATATAGCCAATTTTAAAATGATTTAAATAAAGGTCTGGTGATCTTAGTATAGTGGTTAGGTTGCTAGACTGCTATGCAAGAGGTCTAGAATTCAAATTCTACTATCGACAGAATTAAATAATTACCTAGACATCTGTATCCAACTTACAGTAAACTCTGCTCATTTCTGGGGTTGTAACCCTATAAATTATGTTGCACCAATACCAATTAGGGTATTAGAAGTATGACAGAGTATTTGGGAGAGTATAATATTATACGAATAAATCTTGATAGGATCTATGAGCAGAGAACCTGCATGGTAGAAATCCCAAGTTAGGTGAAGTAATATAGATTTTAACGGTCATACTAGTTAATGTCTGATCTGGGAAAGAAATCTGCATATGAAAAGATTGGTGAAATAGATATGAGTAAGTTCTAA